ATGGATGTGTGGATGGATGAATGTATGGATGTGTGGATGGATGAATGAATGGATGTGTGGATGGATGAATGGATGGATGGATGGACAGATGTGTGGATGGATGGATGAATGGATGTGTGGATGAATGGATGATAGATGTGTGGATGGATGAATGGACGGATGTGTGGATAGATGAATGAATGGATGTGTGGATGGATGGATGTGTGGATGGATGAGTGGATGTGTGGATGGATGAATGGATGGATGGATGGACAGATGTGTGGATGGATGGATGAATGGATGTGTGGATGATGGATGTGTGGATGGATGAATGGACGGATGTGTGGATAGATGAATGTGTGGATGGATGAGTGGATGTGTGGATGGATGAGTGGATGTGTGGATGGATGGATGAATGGATGAGTGGATGAATGGATGTGTGGATGGATGGATGTGTCGATGGATGAATGTGTGGATGGATGAGTGGATGAATGGATGGATGAGTGGATGAATGGATGGATGAGTGGATGGATGAATGAATGGATGGATGGATGTGTGGATGGATGTGTGGATGGATGGATGTGTGGATGGATGAATGAGTGGATGGATGAATGAATGGGTGGATGGACGGATGTGTGTGTGGATGGATGAATGGATGTGTGGATGGATGGATGGATGTGTGGATGGATGGATGCATGGATGGATGTGTGGATAGATGGATGGATGGATGAGTGGATGAATAGATGGATGGATAGATAGTTACTTTATTAATCCCGCGAGGGGAAATTCTTTTCACCTGTTTGACAGATGAAGAAAAGACAAACTTTCAAAAACTCACTTGACGAAACTTTTCTCCTGAACTTTTTCAGTTGTTGACTCATAAACACAGGAGAGAAAATCAGGATCAGTTTAGGTTGTTGTTTCATAGTTTTTGATAAAAGTAGCTCACTGAGTTGCAAAATGGTTGAGCACCATGAGAGGTGTTATTAAATACAATATGTTGTTGTTATTAACAGAGCTCTAATATACTGTAATTCCTGACTGCTCTCAGTGACTCATGACCTTTGGCTAATATTAAAGGAATAGTTCAGTGTTTTGTGAATATTCAGTGTTCTGTGCATTGAGACCGGCTCTGGATCAGAAGGCGTTCAGGACTTTGTTTAAAGACACCGCTCTGCTTCACATACCCCCCCAACAGGAGGACTTTGAGTTTGACGGACAGGCCTCGTTCCAGGACCCCCGGAGCCCCTCAGAGAGCACCACCCCGATGGAGGGAGAGAACATGGGAGGTTGGTGGCCCGAGTACAGTACTCCCGACACAGGTGTGAGACCCGCTGGACAGTTTACACCGGCATGCACACGTTCATCCTCGCACCACTCTGGGAGGGTGTCACTGGGTTGACATTTGGTCATTTTCACCGTAACACTGTATGTAGTGTGGGGTCGTGGCCGTTGGTTGGTTTATGTCCCTGTTCTCCATCTAACCTGCCGGTACTGTGACTGTGAGAGCTGGCTTATCTTTACTATTGTGGGGTTAACTGGGTTCAGCTTGCCTTCATCTCCACCAGTGGACTCAAGCTAAATGTAAGCTCTCCTCACATGTAGTACAACTCTGGGACAATTGGTGTAATCCCAAGAGAGACACTCACTCATTGGTTTTCATCTTCATCAGTTTATTTTCTGTGGACACTGTGCATGCTGGTTGAGCTGGCTAGTGTTTGTTGGTCCACTGAACGCACTGCATTCTTGTGAGATCGTATAAATGTAGGTGACAGGATAAACTCCTCAGCCGTGGTAAGTTTTATTTATTTATTATTTACTTATTGTTTGCATGTTCTGCTCTTTTTCTTCTTCGTTTCCTCTCATCCTGTCTTTTTGTCTTTTTAAGCTGCTTCGTGTCATGAAACCAAAAAATACTTCAGCAGTTATTCAAATTAACACTAAAAATGGAAGTTATGATTGGAGAGTTGTGTTTCAATGGAGATCTGACTGACGTACGTTTTGGTTGTTTGTGGATAAACCTTGAGCCCTGGAGCCACTCTGTCTTCTAACAATGAATCTTCTAGAGAATATCTTTTAAATAATTAGCTCTAAAGAGACTCTGTATCCTGTGACTACTGCTTCACCTCTTCTGTACAACTTTACCTCCTTTAACCCCAGACAGTAGGGCTGTCACTGTTTAATTAAAACATTTAATCTGTTTGAATTAATGCAACCAGCACAGTTACACCCTTTGAGCCGCTGGAAGGCTTTTAATCTGAAACATCTGTGCAGGAAGTGTTGAGTTTCCCTGATGGTAACTTATCAGCGTCTGGAAAAACAGAAGAAATAATGAATGAATGAAAACAGTTCTTGTTTTGTTGCAGTGTAATTGTACATGTTGCTGAATTAGGAGTTAAGTCCACCTCTTCTCTCCTCTGATAACTGCAGACGGTCTGCGGTCCGTCGTGGAGGAGCTGGAGCTGGAGCGGAACCAGCTGCAGGAGCAGATCCTGAGTCTGGAGGAGCGCTGTCAGGATCTGGAGGACCGGCTGCAGCTGCAGGCTCGCATAGAGGCCTTACAGGTAACGTCACATGACACGTCATCGCCACAGCGTCCAGCCTGTGATTGTCTTGTTTAATAACGTTTCACGCTGTGGAATGTAACTTGTACTCGTTGATACTGACGGAGGAAACGACGAGTGATTTGCATGTTACCCCCCCCAAGGACTAGGATTTTGTAACAGGCCCTTCTAACACAGGTGACGTTTGATGTAGATGAAGATGAGCAGCCATTTTGGGTCTCTCAGGTGTGTTGGTGTCTCTCTTGTGTGTGTGTGTGTGTGTGCGCGTGTGCGCTGGAGAGCCCCTCCGGCGGTGATGGCTAATGGTGTGGTGTGCTCGTTCAATCTCAGATCTGGTTCTGGTTCTCAAATCATGTTTTAGTGAAATGTTCTGTCGCAGAGTCACCGGGTGTCATAAAGCACACTTCACTTCTTAAAGAGACAGTAGAGATATTTAGTAGAGTGTGTGTGTGTGTGTGTGTGTGTGTGTGTGTGTGTGTGTGAGGTTCTTCTCCAGAGTCTCAGTTCTACTACAGTAGAGTGTATAGAAACAGACAGGAGAACCATGTTCTGCTGAGGACGTATTCTAGACTCATAACAGAATCTATATCACTCTAAGTTTTAAGCTTTATTTAGAATGTTTTCACCTCTTTACCTTTCTGAGGAACTGAAGCTGTTATTGATTCTACCTCACACACCGGTTAGTTAGTTTGTATGCATAATTGTGCGACTTTTTCAAATCCAAATTAACCCTTTCAAACACCAAAGTCTCACAATAACTCAAACACACTAACAGATGGAGGCAGCAGTAGAGCAACAGCTCCTGTGTTCTGAGAGGTATAATCAGTGTTTCTGTGAATGGAGTCTAGTGTGTTTGTAGAGATCAAAGATAACAGCTTCAGTTCCCCTCAGAAAGGTAAAGAGGTGAAAATATTCTAAATATAGAGTTCATTTAAAGTGATATAGATTCTGTTATGAGTCTAGAATACGTCCACAGCAGAACATTACTTTGTGTTTCTATAAACTCTACTGTAGTAGAACTGTGACTCTGGAGAACAACCTCACACACACACTACTAAACATCTCTACTGTCTCTTTAACTTTGTAACAGTCAAAAATGGTGAATATCAAAGTTCATTATTTCCACTTAAATGGGTCAAATAAACATCTGATGATATCAAATATTGTGATGACTGTAGAAACAGCTCCCATAGATCCCAGCTCTTCTCTGCTGCTGCTCTCCAGCTCTCTGCTGTGATCCACGTCTGTGTGCAGTGACACTGTTCTGAGTCCGCCGCTCTAATCTTTAATCTCATTGATATCCGTCTTCTTCTTCTGCCTCCACAGAACGAGTCGGAGAGACTGCAGAGCCAGCTGGCCGGCCTCCGAAGTCAACAGAGCAGAGATGCAGAGAACCACCAGCTGCTGGTCAGCAGTCTCAACGAGCAGCTCAAAGGGTGAGCTCCTCCAGCCTCTCTTCCTCTAATCATGTTGGAGTAGAGCAGGATACACAGAGCTGTGATTGAAGCTGTACTTCTACCTTCATATCCTGGTATCACCTACTATTACAGAACTATTACAGACCTACTGTAATAGTTTGGAGGCCCAGCTTCAAGGGCAGGGCAACTTCGGAGAAACTCAGTTTCTGTTTCATGGATGTTAACTGACATGTGACAACCACGAGGAGATAATTCTGTTTGTTTGTCGTGTGTGAATTGTTTTTCAAACATGTTTTAAACTTCTGTCTTGAACATTCATTACTGCAGAATATTCCACCTCTTTGTAACGGACAGAACCTCTCTGTCCTCTGCGCTACAAGTATCTGTGTTTCTTGACGTTGCTGCATACAGCCTGGTGTTTGATACAGGTATTTGTTGAATGTTTTAACTGGGTTTGTTTCAACGCTTTGTGATCGTGTTCTTCAGACTCAGTGACACACAGGAGTGCCTGGAAAGCTCCCTCATCGAGAAGGAGAATACGTTGGCCAAGACGTCCGAGAAACTGGAGCTCATCAGCGGCCTCCGAGAATCTCTGAGTGAAAAAGAAATTCAGTGCAAAGAGGTGTCTGACAAGCTCCTTCAGGCTGAGCACACCGTAAGAGCTTTGACTCATTGTCCCGTGTTAGTTTCTATTTCATATTCTGCAGCGGTTCATCTCATTGTTTGTTTTGTTTCTTCCCTGCAGCTTGAGAACGTTTCCAAGAGATGCAGCAGCTCAGAGAAACAGTGCTCTGAGCTGAGAACAGAAGTCGTCGACCTCACGCAGAAGCTCAGTGTGCTGAAGGAGAAGGTGTGAATTTATGAACTGACACATTAATATTACATTCTCAGAGTATCCGTAACAGAAGACGCTCTAACGTCCGCTTCACTGGGACTTTAATCAGTTCACACTCCGTCACACGACCATAGTGAATACATGAATGCAGTAATCTTTCATGGCTTTGCACGAGAGATCAAAATCCTCCTGCCTCACTCGATGCTTCATTGTTTTTTATCTTCTCGTTTTCAGACACAAAAGCAGGAAGTCACCATTGAAACTCTACAAACGGAGCTCGATCAGACAAACGAGGAGCTGGACAAATTAAACTCTGCCCACTTGGAAGAACGAGCCCAGCTCATTCACGACCTTCAGGGCTGCGAGCGTGAAATCGACAGACTCAAAGACGCGCTGTTGGAAAAGGAGGAGGAGATACAAACCCTCGCTGGAAACATGGCGGAGTACGCGGAGCAGGTCGCAGTGCTGAAGCAGGAGATCAAACTCAAAGAGGAGAACCTGGTTCGTGTAGAAAACGCTCTGAGTAAGGCAGAGCGGGAGGCCACGGTCATCAGAGAGTCTCAGACTTCAGATCAGCAGGCGCTGGATAGCAAGATCACAGAGCTGGTGGAGAAAGTAAAGGATGCTGAGGAGGAGGTGCTCAAGGCCAAAGAGGAACGAGAGTCTAGAGAGGCTGAGCTGGAACATCTGATAAAGCAAACGCAGGAGGACAAGAGGACTATCCTGGACCTTCAGGGGGAGATCCAGAAGCAGCTTGTGAGCCATTGCAATCATCTCTCTGAATGTGAAACACACATCGCTTCACTGAAAGAGCAGCTGACTGCGTCCATACAGAAGCAGCGGGAGTCAGAAGAAGTCCTTTTGCAGCTCAAGGACAGACACACCGGCAGTGAGCAGCTACAGCAGCAGCTGAGCGAGAAAGAACAGACGTACGAAAGAGAACTGAAGTCTTTCAAGGATGAACAGAACAAACTGCTGGCACAGGTGGAAGAACATAGTAAGGAAATGCAGACGTTGTCCAAACAGTTAGAGGAGCAAAGACAGAGTGAGGAGCATATCAAGAAGGAGATTCAAGAGAAACTGGAAACCATAGAGACGCTGGAGAACCAACTAAAGACGACTGACAAACAGGCCGAGGACGAGAGGCAGAAATTCAACAACGAACTGCAAAACCGGGATTCAGAAAACGAGAAACTGAGCAGCGAAGTTCAAAGCAAATCTGAAAATATCTCCAAACTCAAGAATCTATTAAAAAGCATCAAGATGGAGAAAAAGCAGCTGCAAGAGAAACTTAAAGGGCTGACAGAGGAGCTCCAGCAGCAGAAGCAGAACGTTAACCAGCTTGGTGAAAAGATTTTGTCCGCTCTTGAACTCAACCACAGTCTTGAGACTCAAGTAGACGGTCTTACAAAAGAGAAAGAGAGACTCGAACTGGAAGTAACCAGGAGTGTAACAACTATCTCAGGAGTTTCTCTTGAGAGGGATTCGTTGCAAACCAAAGTGTCCACATTGGAAACACAGCTTTCACAAAACAACTTGATAGTTGAAGGGCTACAAAAAGATAAAGAGGATCTGACTCTTCGAGCTCATGCGTTAAACAAAGTTGTCGAGCAAAGCACGAACTCAAACTCAGAGATTCTGCTGGCAAAAACCAACGAATGCAGTAACCTCAGCCAGTTGCTCAGGGAGAGAGAGGAAGAGGTGACGCGACTGCAGCAGCAAGTGCAAAGCTTGTCGTCGAAGGTGGACCAGCTCCAGCAGGATCACCGGTCGCAGGTCGAGGCCCAACAACAGCAGCAGACGCAGCTTCAGGAGACACTGTCTCTGCTTCGAGAGCAGGAATGCAGTCTGAAGTCAGAGTTAAAGGAGAAGGAGACCATGTTGACAAAGAAGCAGGAAGGGAACCACAGTTTGCAGAACGAGATCACACACCGGGAACATATTGTGATCAAACTACAGGCAGAAGCTGCTTTGCTAAATGAGGAGCGCTCACAGCTTCGCCAGCTGATTGAGGAGCGAGAAGAAACGTTGAAAAATGTGACACAACAGAGTCAGAAACACAAAGAGGAAGTGGACGATACAAACAACACCGTCAAGTCTCTGAGTGAGCAGATCCGCGTCATGGAGGAAAACGCCAGGAAGCTGGAGTCCGAAGCAGAACTGAGGCAAACGGACCTGGCCGGTCTAAACGGCCACATCCAGGCGGTGACGGAGCAAAACCACCAACTCCGTGCTGCTTGTGAGTCCAGAGAGAAGGAGCTCGCTCTGCAGGCACAGGTTCGGTCTGACCTCGATGGACGGCTTAAAGCGACTCTCGAGCAGAACGCCAGTTTCAGCCTGAAGATTAGCAGCTTCACAGAAAGCAATGAGAGACTCCAGGAGGAGTTAGCACAGAACATCAAATCAGCTTCTGAACTAACCGCTCAGAGGAGTTCACTCCAAGAACACAACTCTGGGCTGGAAATTCAAATCTCAGAGAATCGGAAGATAATCGACGGCCTGTTGGAGGAAAAGGAGGAGCGTGCTTCTGCAGAAGACAAATTAAAAAAGATCCTCAAGGAGAGCGAACAGTCGAACTCTGCAGGTTTGCTTGAGAAAACAAGTGAATGTGCGTCTCTGTCAAAAACGTTAAAGGAGAGAGAAGAGCAACTTGAAAGTCAACGAGAACAAGTTAGTCGACTTGTCACGTCGTTGAATGAGAAGCAGAACCAACTGCTGCAACTTCAGGATACTGTGTCAATGCTTCAGGAGCAAGGGTCTGTGCTGAAGTCAGGGCTGCTGGAGAAAGACGCCGTGTTTCAGCAGAAAGCAGAGGAGTGCAGCGTTCATCAGAATGAAGCGGTGCAGCTGAAGGCCCTCGTGTCCCAGATGCAGAGTGAAGTAGAGACACTCAGGAAAGAGACAAATATAATAATGGAGCAGAAAGAACAGACATTAAAAGACTCGAGGGATGAGTTTCAAAACCAGAAGGACGAGCTGAGTAAACGAAACGAGTCGGTGTTCTCGCTCAGCGGTCAGCTCGGCGCCATGAACGAGAGCGCTGCAGAGATGGAGGTTGAGATGACCGGCCTGAAGGCCGCCGTGCAGAAACTCGCTGCGGAAAACGGTCAGCTGACTCAGGATGAGGACCGGAGGAAAGCAGAGATCGTCGATTTTAACGACAACATTCAAGCACTGAGCGAGCAGAACGCAAGGTTGAAATCTGAACTTCAGAAAACGGTGACAGAGTTTTCTAAAACGCGCAAAGAGGTTGAACATCTCAAAACGGAAGTCTGTGAGGGAGACGGCAAACTCCAAACTGCAGACTCGGAGAAGGAGAGGCTTCACTTGACCTTGCAAGGAAAAGATGACTCCCTGAAACAGCAGGAGAGTCTGATCCAGCAACTCACCGGTAGGATCTCTGAGCAGGAGGAGCAGCTGAAACAGGAAGCAGATGACAATGCGAGTTTAAGTGCAAAAGTTTCAGAGCTTGAAGAGTCCATCTGTCAACTCAGAGGACAAGTTGACAGTCTTTCTTCAGAGTCTTCCGTACTGAAAAATACTTTGGAGAAAAAAGAACAGCTGAGTCTTGAATATCAGAGTCACTCTTCAGCTGCCGTCCAGGATCTCAAGTCAAACCTACAAGCCAGAGAGGCAGAGAGTGAGGGCTTAAAAGAACAGACGTCCCACCTCGAAGAATCAGTCACAAAGCTCAACAGCAGCCTCCAGGTTCAGATGTCTGAGGTGGAGAATCTCAAAAAGGCCTTTGAAGAAAAGGAGGCAGCTCTTTTGGACCAATCAAAGTCTCTTCAGGATGAGGCTTTGCTCTTCAAGTCTCAGTTCATGGAAAGCACAGAGTCGGTGTCACAGCTTCAGAGTCACATTCAGCTCCTGTCCGCCGAGTCCGGAAACCTCAAAACGTCAGCAGAGGAAACACAAAGTGCCTTCAACAACCTTCAAGAGAAATACACGGCTAACTTAGAGGAGCTGCAGCATGTGAGGAAGCAGCTGTCCCAGATGACCGAGGAGGTGTCCAACCTTCGGAGGTTAATGGACGACACCAGTGACGAACGTCAGACGACTATAGAAACACTGAGGAATGAGTTATCTCGGATCCATCACAAAGTTCAGAAAACCGAAGACCTGAACTCCAGTCTTTCGAAGGAAAAGGATGAAGCTTTTGCTTCCCATCAGGCCAGCGTGTCGCTGCTGACCGTCGAAATTGAACGACTCAAATCACAACATCTTCACGTCGTGGCACAAATGAACGCGCTGACGGAAAACCTGGAGCAGAGGGAAATGGCTCTCCATGCAATTAACAGTCAGTACACATCCCAGGCCAAACACGCATCCCAGCTGGTCTCAGAAATGCAGAAACTAGAACAGCAGAACAAGAGGCTGAATGAGGAGATCGGTTTGTCAAAGGAGGAGCACCAGAGGCGTCTCACGGCTGTCAGTAATGAAAACAGACATTTGCAAGAGGAGGTTAGGAAACATCTCGCGGAGAGGGAAGAGCTGGAAAGGAAACATCATCAAGTACGAGCGTCGCAGGTCCAGATGGAGCAGCAGTCCAGCAGCTTGAGCCTAATAATGGAGCAAACGATGTCCGAGAAGGAGAGCCTTCAAGCAAAGGTTAGTGCCAAAGACGAAGAGGTTTCTCGATTAAAAGAAAACATTGAAAAGATAGAGCAGATTCTGCAGGATTCTGAGAAAGAGTGGCTGTTAGTTCTGGATAGAGATAAACAGGATAGGAACCTGCTTGCAGAACAATTAAAAAGTGTTGAAAATGAAATGAAATCTAAAGATGTTAAAGTTAATGCTTTGAAAGGAGACTTGGACAGCTTGCAGGAGAAGCTAGCTGAGGCCTCCTCCGCTATCAGGCAGAGGTCTGATCAGCTGAGCGCCAAAGAGTCGGAGGCGTCAGCGTCCAGGATTCAGCTTGAGAAGGTGTTAGCGTCTGTTCAGGAAAAGGATAATGACAACACTAATTTGCAGCAGGCTCTAAAAGCTGCAGAACACGCGTTGCAAAAACTTGTAGCGAGAAAAATTGGTGCCGACAAAGAGTCTGAGAGATCAGCTGCTTCTTTACAGGACGTGATAAAACAATTACAAGAAAGCCATCAGTCCGAGGTAGATGCTTTGAGAGATGAGTTGGAGGAAACTGTTGCACAATTACAAAAAACACAGAGCACACTCAGTCGAGGAGAGATTAGTAACGATGAGAAGGGTCAACAAATTCTTCTTTTGAAAGAGATGGTGGAGCATCTGCAGACTCGACTGGATGCCGAGTTAGAGACGGTGAAAGAAGCTGCTGTCAAACACTCTTCTTTACACGGAGAATCACAAGCAAAAGATGAGCAGATCAACTGTATGAGCGTTCAGAGCAGTCAGCAGAAGGAGTTACTCGCTGGACTTAGTCAGCAGTTACGGGATAGAGATGCATCCATCGCCCAACTTATCGAATCTGCCTCAAATGAGAGAATGAAACTTGGTGAGGAAAAGACTTCTCTGACGGCACGATTGGAAAGTGTTGAGCGAGAACACGAAACCTCCACGAAGAGGCTCGAAGAGATCTCTCAGCAGTTAGAGGAGCGTCTGTCACACTCTCTGAGTGAACTCGAGACCAAGAATTGTGAGAAGCTTGAGCTGATCAACACCAATGACGATCTAAAGAGTGACGTGGCCAAGGTGTCTAAAGAGAAGGACGCAACCAAGAAGAAGCTTCAGGCTGCTCTCCTTGTAAGAAAGGATCTGTTGAAAAAAATTGAGCAATATGAAAACCAAAACGATAAAAGTGAGGTATTACTTTTGCAGGATAAATTAGAAGAGGTAACAAATCAAGCTCAGGCCACTGCAGAGATGTATCAAGAAAACCATTCTCTTCTTGAAAAGAAACTTCTTGAGAAGGAAGGAGAGATTCTCAGACTCAACACAGAAAGTGAAAGACTTGTGGAACAATTGCAGTTGGAAAAACAAATGCTGCAAGCCGCGTTCAGTGAGAAAGAAGTGAGTTTGTCGGAAACTTTGCAGACGCTGACTGAGAAGAGCATCCTCGTGGAGCTGCTGCAGTCCAGAGCCGCTGAGAGGGATGAGGCGTACGAGCGAGACAGGAACGGCTGGGTGCAGAAATCAGAAGAGCTTCAAAAGGAAATCAAGACGTTCAAAGAAGACTTGGAGGACAGATCTTCCTCCGCTGCTTCTGCCGTCGATTTGGAAAATGAGCTTGTTCAAATGAAGCTTGAAAAGGCGAAGGTACAGAAAAAGGCCCAGGCTGCCTTGCTGGCACGCAAAGAGACGCTGAAGAAAGCTCAAGAGAGCGAAAAGAAGTTAACCCAAGAGCTGGCTGAGCTGAAAGACGACTACAAGGCTCTCTTGGAGCAACGCTGCCAGCAGACGAACGAGCTGAACGCCGTCCAGGTGGACTTTGACGAGAAGGTCAGGGAGCTGAAGAAACTCCGTCAGAGGTCGTTGTCCGATCTAGACGAGCTGGACACTTTAAGACAGCTTGTCGAAGAGAGGGATACAACTCTACAAGATCTGAAGATGTCTCTGGCTGAGAAGGAGAGCCAGTGCCATTCTCTGTCAAACCTGCAGACAGAGCTTGAAAATGTTAAATCCAAATTTGAGAGCTTGTCTCTTGAGATGGTGATTAAGGACGAGGCTCTGGTAGTCGGTGAGCGAAGATCAGATGCTCTGAAATCCAAACTTCAGACGCTAGAGAAGGACTCAGACAAAGCTCGTGCAGAAGTAAAAGAGAAAGCGGAAGAAGTTGAGAAATATCAGGAAGCAATTAAAGTTGCTGAACTACAGAGCCAAGAGGAGAAGCAGGACTTATTGAATAAGCTGAGCGTCTCACTGGAACACATGCATGCAAATGAGGGAAAAAATCGACTCTTAATGGAGCAGAACGAGGCTCTTTTGGAGAAAAGTGACCAGATGAAAGTGGAACTTGAGGCTTTAGTGCCACAGAAATTTTTGGAAGTTTTAGCCGTCGAAAAGACGGCAGCAGAAACAAAGCAGGAGCTCAGTGATGACAAAAGTGTTTTAACTGAGGAGCTTGAAAAAGCACAACTGCATTGTTCTGAAACACAAACGAAGTTGGATTTCTTAAAGCAAGAAAATGGAAATGCTTTCCGATTAATCGGTGAACTCAGAGATGAGGTGACGGCGCTGAATGAGCAGCTGAAGGAGAAAGTAACTGAGCAGCTCCATCAAAACAAGCTTCAAACAAACAAACAGGAGGATGTGAACAAAGAATTCCCCTGTTCGTCCGGCAGATGTGCGGAAAACTTTGAAGTGGAACTAAAGGAGAGAGACGACGCCTTGTCAGTTTCTCAGGCTCAAGTTTCAGAAAAGGAAGAACTAATATCTGCACTCGAACTGCAATTGCATCGTCAAATTAAAATGCATGAAAGTGCCGTTGAAAAGATGAGAACAGAGGCTGATGAGCTTCAGAAATCTGGATTCGACGGCACCAAAGCGAACGATCAGGACAGCCGGAGCAAAGCTGCTCTCCTAACCAGGAAACTTCAAGCAGCTTTAGTTTCCAGGAAAGAGCTCTTGAAGGGAAACGCAACGCTCAAAGAAGAAGTAGAAAAGATGTCAGCCAAACATGACGCCAAAGAAGCTGAGTACCGCTCTCTGGAGTCGTCTGTGCTGAAGTTAAAACAGCAGAACGTGGAGCTGGAAAGCTCCGTGTCGTCTCTGGCCAGGGAGAAAGACGAGCTCAGCGGCGAGGCGGATGGCGTCTTCAGCGATAATCGCAGCCTGTCAGCCGCCTGCGAAAGCTTGAAACTAACCATAGAAAGCATCACGCAGCAGAAACAAGCCTTCTCCTGCCAGCTCGAGTCTCTGAAGGACTCTCAGACAGAGGAGCTGTCCAAGTGGAAGTCCAAGCACGCCGAGCTGAAGCAAGAGTACGAGTCTCTTCTTCAGGCTTATGAGAACGTGAGCAGTGAAATGGACAAGATGAGACAGCTTTTGGAGGGGGCTAAACGAGACCGGCAGGAAGCCCTCAGAAAAATCCACAAACATGAGACCGAGATGGAGATTCTGGACAAGCGAGCTCGAGAGACAGAGGAAGAAAATGGGAGAATTAAAGAGAGGATGCACAAATTTTCCAAAGAGAAGCGGCAGAAGATGGAGGAGCTGGAGGAGGAGAATCAGAAAATTAGAAAAGAGCTGGCTGAGCTCGAGGAAAACCACAAACTGGCAACGTGCAAGCTGACTGATAAAGATCAACAATCGGAGGCAGAGATTTGCAAACTCAGAGAGAAACTCACTGAATTGGAGGTTGAAAATAACCAACTGGCAGAAAAGCTTGAAGTGGCGAGCCGTTCGTTGGAAGAGAAGCACTCTGAATCAAACACGTACACAAACAACATGCAGCTCAAACTTGACGAAGCACTCAGTTTGAATAATTCCCTGATGGCCCAGATCGAGGCCCAGAAAACAGAACTCGGAGCTCAGTTGGAAATCAACAATCTGTTACAAAAAGAGAAGCAACATCTTTGTGAAAGATTGGAGAAGATGCAGAACGATCACGAGCTGCAGCTGGAAAAGAAAGACGACGACATTAAAGAGCTCAAAGATGTCATCAACAAACACACCCGAGAGAGCGTCAGCCAGAATGAGAAGGTGAGGATCTTGGAGGATGACAAGTCTCTTCTACAGGAGGAGCTTGAAAACGTTCAAGAGATTTCAGACAAGTGGAAAAATGAAAATGAGTATCTGGAAACTGTGATCCTGAAAAACTCCGAGAGTATCGATGAACTGACCGAGTCCGTCTCCGTTTTGCAAACCCAAAACACGCAGCTGTCCTCTCAGCTGGCGGCGATCAAAGAAATGAGCGGTCGAGTTCGCCAAGAAAAAGAGGAGGAGCAGCTCAAACTGGTCCGAGAGTTCGAGGAGAAGCTCAAGACGGTTCAGAGGGGCAGCCAGGGCTCCAAGAACGTGAAGAAAGAACTGCAAGAGCTGCTCAGAGAGAAGCACCACGAGATAAATCACCTGCAGCAAAACTGCATTAAATACCAGGAAGTGATCTTGGATCTGGAGAGCGCTGTGAAGAGCTCACGGTCAGCCTGTGAACACTTGGAGAGAGAGCTGAAGAAAAGCTCAGAGCAAACGTCGGCTTTGGGGGAGAGAAGTAAACTGGTTGAAGCCGAGCTGACGACACACAAGGAGCTCCTCCAGGAGGCCACGGAGAAGATCCTGGGTGTTGAGTCTGAACGAGACCAGCTGGCTCTGGACATCTCACAGGAAAGTAACAAATCTGAGGATCACAAAATCACAACATCATCACCAAGTATAGATGACAAACAATTCAATTCTTATTTGGATAATCAGTTTATGTTACAACAGCAGATAGAAGACCTTAAGGACCTGAGAGATAAAGAAAGTCAAAAAGTGATTGAGCTGAGGCAGCACTTAGACTCTCAGGATCTTCAGATTAATACTCTGAAGAGATCGGCTGAGACCAACGAGGTGAAGATGTCCGCTTTATCCGCCACTCCTCAAGGCGCAGATGCTTCCAAACGCTGGAGTGATTTGTACCAAAAGACGTTACACGAGAAGGACAGCCAGCTCCTGGAGCAGGGTTTCATGATCAAGCGGTTCCTGGAGGACATGAGAGTGAAAGACAAAGAGGTGAATGAGCTCCGAGTGACCAAGTCCCGACTGGAGAGGACTCTCAGCGAATACTCCGTCGCTGCCGCGGCGCAGCAGAGGCAGCTGTTTGTCCTGAGCGCGAGCAACACTGAGCTCTCCGAGACCGTGGAGCTCATGGACGCACAGGTGAGGGAGCTCGGCGCTCACGCCCAAAGAATCGAACAAGATAAAAACATGCTTAACCGACAGCTCGCAGACAAGGAAGACGTGATTTCCCAAACGCAGCTAAATCTGCAGCAGGTGGAGAAGACAAACGCAGACTTGGACGCTCAGCTGTTGCTTTTACGGTCTCTAAATGACAAAGTTCAAGCAGACTTTGAGAAGCAGGGGGGGATTTCTCTGCAGCTGAAAACACTCCTCCACGGCAAAGACGCTGAGATCTCCTCCTTGCTGTCCTGCAGAGACGGACAGATGTCCGGATATCTGGAACAACTCCAGGCTAATCATCGCGCCCAGTCAGCCGTGTACGAGGACAGGTTGGCGTCATCACGCTACCAGAGAGAGACGGCCGACAAAGAGCTGAGAGGCCTCGAAGCAAAGGTGAGAAGCCTGCAAGTTAAAGTGGACCGGTCGATCCAGGAGAAGGAGCAGGCGGCCGCTAAGATGGAGTCGTTCAAGAACTCGATGGTGTCTCTACAGAGCGAACGGGAGCGACTGGCGTCAGAATACAGGATCCTTGAAGCAAAGAGCCAGTTAGGGTTAAAGGGGAAAGACGGCTCAGCTGACTGGGAGGGCGGCGCCACCAAAGGCCTCAAACATGAAATACGGAAGCTGTTGCATCAAATGGATGATCTCAACTCAGAGAACGCTATGCTCAGGGCTCAACTGGTCCGGTACAGGGAGGATCTGAATCAGGTTTTATTCCTGAAGGACAACCAGCTGAAGGGGCTGCTGAAGAAGCAGCAGGATGTGATCAAAGACCTGGAAGACCAAAAAGCTGCTGCCAAAAAGCAGCACAGAGAATCTCGGTTGGACCTTCAAAAGGAGGGAGAGGCGAGTGATATTTTAAGAGCAGAGATCTCTCAACTCAAAGCTCAGGTTTCCAGTCTGGAGGCTGACTTGTTAACTCTAAAACAAGAACGAGCTGCGACGAATGAAGGCAAAGTGATCTCTGATTTGCAGGAAGCGGTCGCAGCCAAAGCGGCTGAATGTAACAACCTCCAGCAGAAGCTTCTTGCTCAGAAGGTCCTGACTGATGAGCTGAAGGAAAAAATGCAGCTGGTGGAGACTGAAACGGACAAAAACCTGGCGCAAGCTGAGGACAAGTACAACAGCGAGCTGGATGCCTTCGAGCGCGAGGTGGAGCTGATGAGGACCGAGCGGGAGACGGCGGACCTGAGGACGGCGGAGCTCGCTACAGAGCTGCTGGAGATGGAGCAGCAGCTATCAGAGGCCAAGACACAGAGCAAAGACACCAAGGCTCAGAACGAGTCCATGTGCAGAGCCATGGCCGCTCTGCAGAACGACCGAGACCAGCTCATCGAGGACTTCAAGATCCTGAGAAACGGATACAACGAGGAGCTCCGAGAGACTCGGGCGGCCCTGATCAAGGTGGAGCGCGGCCTGCGGGACGCCACGTCCGACCTGGCGATGTTCGCCAAACAGAGGGACGTCCTTGTTCGGAAGTCAGCAGCTTTAGAGAACAGAGAGGCGCACGCAGAGCTGAGCAAGTTGCTGGATGAGCTGTCGAGGGAGTTGCCGGAGAAGGAAAAGGAGCTTAAGCGGGTCGTCCTGGAGAACGACACGTTCAGCAGGCAGCTGTCGGCGTTCTCCAGATCCATGGCCAGCCTCCAAAACGACCGTGAGCGGCTGATGGAGGAGCTGGCCGGGGCCAAAAGAGCGGTTGAGTCCAGGCAAGGGTCGAGTCCGGAGACGGGAAAGTCAAAAGGAAGTGTCCTCCAGAGTGAGAAGGAAGGGCCGGTAAGTGAAGTCCTCCGCTGTGGTTTGAGTTTGGCTGTCACTTCCTCTCTGCGTTGTTTCATTTTGCAGAAAGAAAGCATGCAGGGTCAACATCGTTTCATCCATCATCGCTTCGACTTGCATGGTGGCGTTTCTTTTGTTTTGTGTTTGGATGCTCATGTGTTTGTGTCTGTGAAGTTCAGTCTGAAAACATTTAGTCGAGGATGAGTAGTTTGATCTTTGTGACTAGAGACGTTGATGTTGTTGCAGGAGGTGGAAGAACTGCAGCAAACTCACAGAGTTCCACCTGAAAGAGAAATCAGCAGCTACCAGCAAGGATCGACAGAGCTGAGGTAAAAGTAGAGCGGAGATAAGATCAATTCAACTGCTGTGTTTTCAATTTAAAGTGCAGTGTGACTGTGTTAGATCGACCCTGTTGATGCATGTAGTGTTGTCAGTGTGGCGGACCTCATCTACAACTCACAGGTCTGGACTTTCCCAGAACGTCTTCCTTCAAAACGTTTTTGTTCATGCACAAAAACCATAAAAGGTGTCTCGTACTTTGGCAACAAGCGGGACGTTTGATATTCGCCCAAACTGCCGCGAGCGCACGTGAGAAATTAAATATATTTTCTTATGATACTAAAGGTTGGTTTTGTCTGTTTTGTAGATCTGACGCAGGGAGGAAGGACACGCTGCCAGTCAAGGTGAGTTAAACCTAAAAAATACTATTTTGCACTCAACTGTTTGAGATTTAGGTTGTTTTTCTTTTGTTTTTCAAACCAGTTTGATTCTATACAAACAAACGTTTAAGCTCGTTTTGTTCAGTCCTCCATCTTGTTATTTTTTCCTTCCCCTCAACAGGAATCGGTTGTTTTGGCCGGTCGGAGCGGAGCGGACGAGGCGGTGAGTCGCTTGGAGGCCGAGAGGATCCAGCTCCACAGAGACCTGCAGCGCTGCTTGTACGAGATGCAGCAGCGAGACCAGTACTCCCAGCAGCTCAACCTGAAGGTACAGCAACAGCTGAGCTCTCCTACCTCCCTCAAACGCAACGCGTCTGAACACGCTGGCGGTGCAGACACAAACTGAGTGATGTGGGCGGTGGAGCAAGCTGTTTGACTATAATAAACGTTTATTATTACAAGATATTTATTTGATTATTGCTCTTTCTACAGACGACATAACCTCTGAAGTTAGAATGAAAACAGTTCTTTGAGGATAATGAAAAGATGAAATGACTGCTGCATCGCCATGTTCATGTGCAAAATCTCTCTTCCTCCCCCTCCCCCTCTTCCTCCCCCTCACCCCCTTTCCAGCTGCAGCAGGCGGTGCTGGAGAAAGGTGCTGCTGCAGCTCAGTTGAAAGCCGTCTCCCAAACCCTGAGGGACGCCCAGGATCGCTGCCACTGGCTGGAGCACCAGGTTCAGTCTCAGGTAGATAACCTGAAGTTGTGTCGTGTACTTCCCCTCCCTTTGTTTCTTGTCTCTCTGTATTGTCATGCTATGAAATGAAGCCAATCAAAGCAGACAATAAAGATTTCTTTATTTACATGTAATGCTGCGTCTCCACCACCAGGGGTCAGTGTTTGCTGAGGTTGCACCCGGAGCCCCTCAGGAGAGGAGCAACGACTCCACGATGGCTGAAACCGCTGAAGCCAGTCAGCTCCGAGATCGGTGAGGAGACGGAACTAAACATGTTCTTTATGTGTGATTAGTTCACTGAAACATTAGAAACATGTTCTTTATGTGATTAGTTCACTGAAACATTAGAAACATGTTCTTTATGTGTGACCGGTTCACTGAAACATTAGAAACATGTTCTTTATGTGTGATTAGTTCACTGAAACATTAGAAACATGTTCTTTATGTGATTAGTTCACTGAAACATTAGAAACATGTTCTTTATGTGTGATTAGTTCACTGAAACATGTTCTTAATGTGTGATTAGTTCACTGAAACATGAGAAACATGTTCTTTATGTGTGATTGGTTCACTGAAACATGTTCTTAATGTGTGATTAGTTCACTGAAACATGAGAAACATGTTCTTAATGTGTGATTAGTTCACTGAAACATGTTCTTAATGTGTGATTAGTTCACTGAAACATGAGAAACATGTTCTTTATGTGTGATTAGTTCACTGAAACATGTTCTTTATGTGTGATTAGTTCACTGAAACATGTTCTTTATGTGTGATTAGTTCACTGAAACATGTTCTTAATGTGTGATTAGTTCACTGAAACATGTTCTTAATGTGTGATTAGTTCACTGAAACATGTTCTTAATGTGTGATTAGTTCACTGAAACATGTTCTTTATGTGTGATTGCTTCACTGAAACATGTTCTTAATGTGTGATTAGTTCACTGAAACATGAGAAACATGTTGTTTATGTGTGATTGCTTCACTGAAACATGTTCTTAATGTGTGATTGGTTCACTGAAACATGTTCTTTATGTGTGATTGCTTCACTGAAACATGTTTATGTGTGACTGCTTCACTGAAACATGTTCTTTATGTGTGATTGGTTCACTGAAACATGTTCTTTATGTGTGATTGGTTCACTGAAACATGTTCTTTATGTGTGATTGCTTCACTGAAACATGTTCTTTATGTGTGATTGCTTCGCTGAAACATGTTCTTAATGTGTGACCGGTTCACTGAAACATGAGAAACATGTTGTTTATGTGTGACTGCTTCACTGAAACATGTTCTTAATGTGTGACCGGTTCACTGAAACATGAGAAACATGTTGTTTATGTGTGATTAGTTCACTGAAACATGTTCTTAATGTGTGATTGGTTCACTGAAACATGTTCTTAATGTGTGACCGGTTCACTGAAACATGAGAAACATGTTGTTTATGTGTGACTGCTTCACTGAAACATGTTCTTAATGTGTGATTGGTTCACTGAAACATGT